AGCTTTGATTTTATAATATAATAATGCAATAAAACACATAATTATAGTAATATAAAATTATTATTATTATATTTTTCTATTTATCTCTGATATTATAATTTAGCTGTGAGCTTGTCTCAAGTGATTTTTGTAATGTGGTTTGTAGGAAAATTGCTTAATTCTTTAATTCTTGAATCTCCAAGCTACTTATTTGTGTGCCTTCACTTTTGAACTGTAATTCTCAATCAAAGATATGATGACCAAGATGGTGTGGCCCTGGTATGGTCGCAGTCTCCTTTCTATTTATAGAAGTGGGTTGACCTCGTCGCAACTTGGTCTTGTTGTTAGGGCGACTTAGTAGGACGCACCTTATCCGAAGTCCTCCTCCATAGGAGTTATCATAATTCTCAGTATCAGACCGTGGACTTGGCACGTCTGTGAATGTATTAAGTCCACGGTCTGACGCTGGGAACTATGATAACTCCTATGGCAGAGGATTTCTGATAAGGTGCGTTCTACTTAGTCACCCTGACAACAAGACCAAGTTGCGACAACGAAGTCAACCCACTTATGTATTTTTTAATGGTATGAAGAACAGAATGATATGGTCTTTGGTATGGTCGCGGTCTTTTTTCGTTGTATAGAAGTTGCTTGACCCCGTCTTCTCAACTTGGTCATATTGGCAGGAAGACCTTGAGGAATGCATCTTGCTCGCAGTCCATGGTATTCATTATAATTTCCAGAGTCTGAACGTGGACTTGGTAAATTCCCGAACGTTTAGCTGGCATCGTAGTCAGCATCGTCAGTGAGTCTTGCCAATCCCAGCACCAAGCTACACCTCGTTAAAGAGACAAGTGAAGTCAATCCCTTGATCAAATTTCTGTTCAAATGGTTGTGTCATCACTCATTCTGTTTTGATCCCTCTATCCATTTCCTATCCTCTTGTCTCGCTTTCGTCCTATCACAACTTTTCACATGTTTATATTCCCCACTTGAAAGGCAGCAGGCGACCAGAGATAGATGTCCACAGGCTTAATCGAGGAGAGGATACGTGAAGGTAATGTCTACTATCCACAAGCATGATAATCAGAGCCTAGGCGCTCTGCATATGAGTCGACTTTGGGCATGCTACTGAAGGCTTAAGAGATACGACCTAGAGTAGAAGTACACTGAGGCTGTAACCGAGTGAAATAGATCAACCAGAAAGATAAGAAACGGACCTAAGGGCCCAGAAGGCAGATCCAAACACGAGGTCTGAGTCGGATCAGCCATTCGAAAGGGAGGGGACGAGGCAAACAGCAGGTGTGATGACGCCATGGTAAATTAGCCAAAAGGGCACATCTCTTGTTGAATATAAACATGCCAGAAGCTGTGATAGGACTAGGGCGAGACAAGAGGGTAGGAAATGGATAGAGGCATCAGGACAGATAGAGGAGTGATAGCACAACCTTTTTGATGGAAGGTTGTTCAAAGGATTGACTTGAAGTAAAACTGGGTTTCGAAGAATTCCTTAATGAAATATTGTGGCATGACTCCCGATTTCAAAGGGAAAGTTGGTTGGAAGGAATTTATGATGTGGTCTCACCTGAAACCGAAGGAGGATTGTCGCATAAAGAAGACTATTAAATTATGCGAACAAGTCCTCGGCTCCCCGTCCTACGACCCCGATGAAACTGTGCTAAGCTTTCGTCTGTACCACCCTGACAGACAACATCAGAGCAAGGCTCCATACTTTACGAAATAGAGCAAAAATATACTAAACCAAGAGGTGTCAGGCTGCAACCCTAGTCGCTTTTTATACACCAGGCATCGCGATTTTAATGAGGCCTCTTCTGTTTTGGTTGTCTACTTCAGCTTTACTCTACATGCTTGCAAATGAGTGAAGTTAACTTTCTGAATCAGAAATGCGTTCGGTGGCAGTTGTTTAATCACATAAAAACTGGCATACGATCTAATGCTGAATTATGTTTGGGCTTGTGCTATTATCTATTATGTGTATGTAATGCTCATATCATGGGTGGTATGATAGTCCTAGCTAGACACGAAGCTAATCCTGTCTCCTCTTGCTCAGTGGCTCTTCATGCACCCCCTCTCTCTCCCTTTCCTTAAGTCTATCTAACAGCCACAAAAGGGTCCTACTTAGTTTTCTACACTCGTTCCTCCTATTAAGGATGTTGGCTGTCTTGTTATATTTTATAGACTTCCTAATCTTACGCTTTGACGTGAAGTCCCCATAATCCGCAAAACGTTGTGTTTTGGACCAGTATTTTGAGTATCCTGTATTGCCAAAATGTGTTCAGCAAACACAGCTGCAAACCATATGGACTAGGAGGTTGGCAGATTGAGGGATTCACTGTTTCAAAACAATTGCCCATTAGGATAAGTAGACAATTACATATCATTTGTAGTTAACAAGTTAAGGGAGTTTCTTATCAGACGCGGGATATAAAACTGGACAATTCTTCTCGGTTTCTTATTTCGCCTTCCTGTCAGTTTGCGAAAAGCTGGGTGAACTACTGAGGAAATTGAATGTAAAAACAATGTTTAAAGAGAAATCGACGCTTTCATCAGTTGTTCCTTCGTCTAGAGAATATTCAGATCCTCTTTCCGGACTGTTACAATGTTTTGTGCTCATGTGGTAAGGTATATGTGGGGAAACCTGCCGGCTCATTCACAAGAGACGATGCGAACACAAAACCGCTTGTAAAGGTCTAAGGGTCCAAAAATTTGAGTTCGCGATGTTAGGTGTATAAAAAGTGACTGGGGTTGCAGCCGACCACATTCTTCTCTTGGTTTTGTATATTTTTGCTTAATTCCGTAAAGTATGGAATCTTGCTCTGATGTTGTCTTTTAGGGTGGTACAGACGAAAGCTAAGCACAGTTTTAACGGGGTCACAGGACGGGGAGCCGAGGACTTGTTTAGATAATTCAATAGTCTTCCTTATGCGCAATCCTCCTTTGGTTTAAGGTGAGACCGCATCACGAATTTCTTCCAACCAACATTCCCTTCTAAATGGGGAATCATGCAACAAAGGATTGACTTCAATTGTCTCTTTGACGAGTTGTAGCTTGGTGTTGGGAATGGCAAGACTCACTGAAGATGCCTGCGAAGCGTCTCGGAATGAACCAAGTCCACAGTCCAACTCACGAAATCATCATGCATACTATGGACTCCGGACTAGGTGCGTTCCTCTAGGTCTTCCTGCCAATATGACCAAGTAGCGAAAACAAGGTCAAGCAACTTCTGAATTTCTCAATCTTTTTTTTTTATTATTTCAATAAAGGCTTCATGCTTGTCAGGAAAAAAACTCGCCTTTAGTCATAGTCCGATGTTAACTTATGTAAATTCATTTTATCTCTTAAGTAAAGCCTGCAACATGTCCCTAACTCACCAGAGTAACATGTTTAATGGGTGGAATGTGTCGTTCTGTCCTCACAACGTGTAAAAGTGAAATTTAACGCCGAGATCATACTATCGCTGCATGAAATGCACTCTACTCACTGATTGTGTGCCTTCATCCTGGCCTCAGTATATATCATTAGTTAATTAATAAATTCGTCCGTAATTGGAGAACTTGTTTTCATTCACTTTATAAGTGACAAGCATCTTGTTTACTTTCAGCACTTCATAGTCATCATACGAGTTTGATTAGACCTCCTGAAAAGTCTCTATTTCCGAGGCTGATGTTCGGTGGCCCAAAAACATTCTGACTCTATAGTTTTAGGAAAAACACGTGCATAAATTTGAACCTTTGTATTCCACTGCTCCATAAGCTGCATTAAATCATTCCTAATTTGGTTGTGACCCGACTTTTGATTTCGGAGAAAAATTTGGATGAAAGGGATTCGTTAAACTGAATAAAAAACAGACCAGCAAAAGAAAATACGGATGAATTTTATTGTATTACTGCCTTGTAGTGTAGAACACTGGTTTCTGCGAAGGAGTTATCTGTTCCGTCTTGCGTCCATGATGAATATCTAAAATATATTATATGCGTTTTTTGTAAATGATTATTGTCTGTGACGTTATGTGTCATATTACAATTGTAAATCGGCCCAGAATATTTTAGGTCTCAGAATGGTGAGTCGAGGAATTATTCGCAATCCTTTTTCAGTTGATAGTGGGCTCAATCCACGGATCTTTTGTAACCTAACTTGCAAAGATTTACTCCGCTATTTTGCCATAACAGTTGACTGTATGATCTCCATTTTAAATTGCAAATAATAGTGGTCAGAAATAGTAATCATAATTAAATAAGCTGGAGATTGTGCCGCAACTGCACTTTATTACTTCGCCTTGCGCTATTAATTAGTCCTGGTGTTAACTCATTCCTTGTACAGCCTTCCCTTATTTCTGCCCGTGCTTTATGCTAAAGGTGAAGTTGTTGGGTTTATCTTGACAGTTTGAATAATACTAAGGCAGGTTTATACATTAGAACAGGAAACTAGGATAATGGTCCTTATACCTTAATATATGAGGCATTTCTGGCTTTATAAATAGTCTAGTATACATTCTTTATTTTACATTCCCTTGATAACTTCGGAATTACTCTCGAGATATACAACGATTATGCTTGTAACCCTACACTTTTCTGGGCATTTTTTAGATTTATTCGTTCGCTGAGTCGGCGGTTGTCTCTCTGCCGCGCCCGACCAACGCGAACCTCCTACTACTCGCAAAGCTGCATCCTTTACCTCGCCTTGTAGTAGAATGGCGTCGGATACACGGTATCTTAGAGAAGTCCTTCTCTGGATTGGTAAACGCCTGTTGTCTTGCCGAACCAATTCACCCTCAAGAATCCAAATCTCATTCAGAAAAGGTAGGGATGATTTTTTTAACCCTTTCTAACCATTCTCTAGTCGTTATTCAGTATCGTTTTTGCCCTTAAACCTGGCTTTTATCTTCTTTGTTTACCCGGCGGCTAATTTAGTCAATTATTCAATGGTCCGAGATTTGTAATAGCAATTGTGGCTTCCTGCTGAAACTTTCAGAGAACATATTTTCTGAATAGAGCCACGTCGCAGCTCGATCGGTGCTCAAGCCACTAAAATAGGGCAGTTACTCATGATATCGGAAATCATAACCACAGCGAGGATATGTAGATTTTTATTGTCAGCGACGGGAGCTAAGCTAGTAAATAAGACTTCAGCTCCCTATTCCTGGAGATCGAATAGTCTCAGGGGCGGAATAAGAAGACATGCCAAGCTATTTTTAAATGACTGGGAGTAAAAATAAGCGAAAAGGATGAGTGAAAGAGGTTAGAATCCGGTTGGTAGCCGATTCATTCCGATAATTGGGCTTGGCTTGTATTACTGGCCTAAACAATCACGAAATGTAGGACTATAAACTGGGGAATAATAATCCAAAGGTAGATTGTACTGGCTACTTTGGAGAAAATGATATATTTCGTTAAGTTAAAAGCATTCGTCTTTTCTTTTGTTGGTCTGTTTCTTTTTAAGTAAAAACATCTCGATCCTATAATATTATTTTCATTTAAGTCCCTCTACCGGTTTAAACTTTGCCCATGGCCCTACTAATAAGTTAGTCTATTTATTGGCTAGAGACTGTTGTCTATACACCGATATCGACAATATGAAGAATATGTGAAGAAAATCTGGGGTTGGAAAAATTCATTAGTAATTTATTGTGACATGACACGCTCCTTGCCAGGAGTTCATAGTATGCATGATAATTTCAAGAGCTGGACCGTGGACGTGGAGCTAGTTGGCCAACAGTAGACGTGTTTGATTACGAGAAGTTGCGATATTGAAGGGGTGATACGAGATTATAAGATTGGTTAATAGTCCAGAGTAGAAGGACAGATATCACAATTAGTAAATGCATCCGCTTCACTTGTATCTTTGACGAGTTGTAATATGGCGCTAGGAATTACAATATTCACTGAAGCCACCGACTAGGATGCTGGCAAAAGTCTGGTAATGTACCACTTCCACGTTATTCGAAGATATGAGGACCAAGATGTTGTGGCCTCTGGTATGGTCGCAGTCTCCTTTCGATTTATAGAAGTGGATTGACCTCGTCGCAATTTGGTCTTATTGTCAGGGCGACTATGTAGAACGCATCTAGTCCGAAGTTGTCTGCCATCGTAGTTGTCATGATTCCCAGCATCAGACAGTGAACTTAGTACATTTTCAAACGTTTCGCCGGCATCGTAGTCAGCATCATCAGTGAGTGCTGCCAC